TCTGGACCATTTGGAAAGTCAGGAATGATATAGTGTTCGAAGGGAGGAAGTTAGATCAGACATAATTATTTTTCAGCAAGATTTAGGCTTGCTTCTTAGTTTTTAGCCAAGTATAAGGAGATTTCTATCCCTAAGGATTCTCTCATTTCTGATCTTTCCCTAGGGGATTCTTGTTCATCCTACAATAAAGTGATTTTATCTAAGATCCCTTGGTTACCTCCCCCTAAGGGCTTCATCAAATTTAATGTTGATGCTGCAACTAGTTGCGACTGGAAGAAGAGTGGTCTTGGTGGTGTTTTAAGAGATCATTCTGGTTTGATTTTTGGCTCTTTCAAGGAGTCTGCTGGTTCGGGTCCTCCTACACTGATGGAACTTAAAGCTATTCAAAGGGGTTTATCCCTTTTTGACTCTTTTCAAGAGATTGTTAAGGATCGGTTGATTATCGAGAGTGATAACAGGGTGGCAGTGGATTGATTAAGAATGTTGATTTATGTCCAGATGTGTATGCTTTTATTGTTAATGACATAGTTGATAGGCTTAGAGCTTTTGAGGGTGTTGTTAGATGGGTTGCTAGGAATGCTAACCTAGAGGCTGATGCCTTAGCTAAGGCTGGAATAGGTTGATTCCTGAGTTGTTGTTTACTGTTGTCTTATGGCTTTTAGTCCCCGTAAAGGGTGTTTTGGTGTGTTGTATTTCTATTGTAACTGGTGTTTTGGTGTGTTGTATTTCTATTGTAACTTTCTTTATGTTTAATGAAATCTTAATGCACTTTTTCCTCCTTCCGCTGATTTAAGGAGCTTCTTTACGAGCTCCTTCAATTAAGAAGGGGGTTGTTAACTAGGCCTTCAATTCTTATAAAAAAAAAAAAAAAGAAGAGAGCTATTTTTCTAGTTTATTGATGAATTGGCTATTGTTTTTGTTGTCGAGCAGAGCCCTGCTGCATCAATAGGCTTATATATTGACTGCAGTTCAAACTATGAGTCACCAGCCTCATTTGGGGTCTCACACCTGCTTGAGCGTATGGCCTTCAAAAGCACAACAAACCGAAGCCATTTGCGTATAGTGAGGGAAGTAGAGACAATTGGTGGCAATGTGAATCCTGCAGTTTCTCGGGAGCAGATTGGATATACCTTTGATGCTTTGAAGACTTATGTTCCTAAAATGGTAGAGTTACTTATTGATTGTGTGAGAAACCCTGCTTTCTTGGATTGGGAGGTCAATGAACAAGTAAATGCTTTAATCTTGCTGCTTTTGTGCTAAATAATTATGTGCAGCTTCAGATTAAATGCCCTTGTGAGATTGCAATTTGGTATTTGACCTTGTGCAGCTTCAGAAGGTGAAAGAAGAAATTGCCGAAGCTGCAAAGAATCCGCATGGCATGCTCTTAGAAGCCATTCACTCAGCTGGTTATTCTGGTGCATTGGCAAATCCTCTTTTAGCCCCAGAATCTGCAGTTAATTTATTGAATAGTACAGTTTTGGAGGATTTTGTTGCGGTGATTCTCATAAAACTTATTTGTTATGCTTTAACTGCTAATTGTGTATTGTACTTTGCATTGTACCTGACCATTGTATATCCTCCTCACTAGTAAGCTTGCTTTGCCATGAAAATATTAGGAAAATTTTACTGCTTCTCGGATGGTACTGGCAGCAACTGGTGTTGAACATGAAGAATTGTTATCTATTGCAGAACCACTTTTGTCAGACCTTCCCAAGGTCCCTCGTTCTCAGGAACCAAAATCTGCGTATACTGGAGGAGATTACTGTTGCCAGGCTGATTCAGGGGTATGCATCATAAAAAATACTTAGAAAGTGAGCTTTTCTTTTGTTTTTCTTCCCAGTCTGAGTTGCAAATGATTATAAATTGCAGGATCTAACTCATTTTGCCCTTTCATTTGAACTTCCTGGTGGTTGCACAATGAGAAGGAAGCTATAGTTTTAACCATTCTTCAGGTTTTTAACGTTGGATTTCTTTATCTGCTCAATGTCCTTGTTATGCAATGTTCTAATTTTTGATGCAGTTCATAAAAGATCTTGCTATCTTGGTTGCTTGGTTTTTATTGCATTTTTTGTTCTCCCTGCTTGCTACCATGATTTCAACATAGGAAGGTTGATAAATGATAAATATAAATGTTCTCTAGATTCTAATGGGAGGAGGTGGATCATTTTCAGCTGGTGGCCCTGGAAAAGGAATGTCTTCAAGACTATGTAAGTTGATTGTGGTGTATATTCTTTATCTTTCAGTATATGACAAGTTATAGTTTAAGAGCAAAGGTAGAAAGAACTTTTGTTATTTTAGTGAACGCTTTACCTTTAACTTTTTTCTGAAACTAGACTTCTAATTTCTTTTAATAATTTAGTCAATTTGTATAATTCAGCTTGAAAGTGTTTTGGTTAAATTATGAGCAGATCTTCGAGTCTTGAATCAGTATTCACGAGTTCAGTCATTTTCAGCATTCAACAGCATTTACAACCAGACTGGCTTATTTGGGATACAAGCTACAACTGTAAGTCTTCTTTTGAACCTTTCATTACTAATTCATGTATAGTTCTCTATTCCTTCCTCTATCTTCCCTGCTCCAATATGTCTTTGTGTAGCAAAAGCTCAAGTAGAGAACTACTTCCTTTTATTGGTTTTCACATTGTTCTGCAAGGATTTTTGGGCTTTTTTTGCTTGATAGAGATTCTTTTTTTTTCCTTTTTATCTCCGCTGATACTCTTCTTTCTTTTTGTCTCATTTCGCTATTTCTTCTGGCACTAGAGATGTTGAAGCCACAGGCTTGACCAAAAATATAGAATAACATATCAAGCTTGATGGTGTTGGGGATAGTGTGTTCTGGAATTTATATTTCTTTTGGCAGATTGAATTAGGAAACCTTTTGGATGGTAAAGCTTGTAAAATCACACCAGTTAAACGATACTAAATGCTAGGGATTTGCGATTACAGCCAAGTGAAATCGGCAACTTCCATGTAAATTAACGTTAGGGACTTTCACAAATAAATCATTAATAGATGATTTTCTTGCAAGACACTTATTTGTTAAATGCTAGTAATAGGCATGGTTAAAAGGCCACAACGACCTGCATTTGAAGGTTCTATTTGCTTAATCAATTGTTCTATATTGTAACTCATCTCCCTTTTCTTGGACTTTTAACTAAGTTGATTATAGATTTCCAACTGTACAGATACTGTTTGCTGGTATTACTAATCTTTATGACACTGATGTTTCTGGACTCAGGGTTCTGATCGATGTAGCTGTCAAGGATCTTATGGCTGTTGCAACACCTGGACAAGGTTAACAGCTCTTTATTATGGAAAGTACTTTGTACTTTCTGCAACACCCACTCGATGGTGCCTGTTACTGAAATACTTTTCATTGTTTTCTTTACAGTTGAGAAGAAAGAACTGGACCGTGCTAAAGAGTCGACCAAGTCTGCCATTTTGATGAATTTGGAATCCAGAGTATGTAAACTGATCTCTTTAGTTTCTTTACTATAGCCAAATTCAATTCTTCTCGCCGAGGATCATATTCTCCTGTCAAGTTTTTCTGTTTACCCGCGAGGTGTTTTCTGCAGGCAGTTGCGTCAAAAGATATTGGTAAACAAATCTTGACATATGGTTAGAGGTACGACTATTTATAAAATTATCAGCTTTTTACCATTTCCGTGATTAACAGTGACATTGCTAATTAGTTGCTTCTCATCAACATCTATATGTATTACTGCTTGCTTTTATATTAAAGTTTATGCGTAAACTATTATGATATTGTGTAATTGAATTTTTTTAAATTTATCAGGAAGCCTGTGGAGCATTTCTTGAAGGTGGTTGATGAAATTACAACCAAGGATATCTCTTCAGTAGCCCAAAAGCTTCTATCTTCTAATCTCACAAAGGCATCGTATGGGAATGGTAGTTCTCTGTTTAGTTAAAGATTAAAATACCGGGTTTCGTATGTTTTATTAGAATGCCATTTGAAGAGATTAACTCGTTGGTTTTGCTCATGATTTTCAGTCATCAACGTCCCAAGATACAAATACGTTAGCAGCAAATTCAAGGTAAAATGAAACTGCTTTGTTCAGTCAAACTGGGTATATCCCCTGTTTTTCGGCACTATTATGCATCTGCATACCCTAAAGAGCTGTTTTTTACAGGACGCGCTTGAAAATAAGGAGTCAGGTTTTGCCATTTTGAACAATAAACTGTGACCCTTGGATAGCAAGTAAACGTGTTGGTGAAACAATGGGGTTCGCACATTTTTGTTTAATTCCATGATTTGGGTTTATGTATTCTTTTTCACTTCTGTTTTATTCCACAAAGTGAAGTCAGCAATGGTTGTTGGACTTGGAGCACAAAGCTTGACTGGAAATTGTTTTGGTTAGGGCACAATTTTCAGGGTACAAAGAAGCTCAAGGATAAGAAAGAACTTTAAAAGAACCAAAGAAAAACTCAGTTGTATCCTACGACTAAGATCACACTCCGTTGACCCAAAAAAAAATCAGTCTTATTCGTCATGGACCATTTCGACAATTAGATTACTTTAAGGCAAGCCATAATTATGAGATAACACGTAACAATCACGTTATATGTTGCTAATGTTCATAAAAGTTATATAGAAATTTTAATGAAATTAAAACTACATAGAACTTTGTGTTTATTAGGTCTAATTCATGATGTATTCAATCCCAGCAAGATGACGATGAACAAATTGTGTAGCAATGGAATAAAATATACTTCCAACAGTTTATATAAGTTGTGCATGTACATGCACGAAGCTTTAGATATTATCAATTGGTTAGACGTTCAGGCATTGGCTGCTGCTGATATTCACTGAGCTCCCGTTTCCAGATTTACAAAACCAAATGGAAGATTACTATAACTATTCCCTTGAAGCTGAGAATCTATTGGAAGGAGTTCAAGCAGGTCCTGTTCATTGCTTCCTTAATTGTATTTGCACCCAGAATCAGAATTATGTTACTAAATAATTGGATTTTGACAAGATATGATTGCAACATGAGAGCAATGTCTAAAGGAAAATATTTCATCACCAGGTTACAGCAGCAATCAACTGAGGCATGATTGCTAGAGTGTTGAAAATAATTTTCGATATTACGCTACCAAAGTGAAAAGCCAAATCTGATCCAACGACTGAACTTTCTTGTATTGCAAACCATCAAATAGTATCTAACCATGAATCGAAATCATCCAAGACCTTTGACTTTTTGACCGGTTGCGAGGATGAAGACTGAATATTGTTCTCCCAAGCAGCTTTTGCAAACTTCTGTTCAGACAAACCATTTGGGTCAATTTTGGATGTCTCTTGTAACAAATCATCAAGTAAATCTTCAGTAGCTGAATTAACTGCTGCAGCTTTTGATGAAACGATACCTCGGTTTACCAATGTTGAAGTATCTCGTAACAAATCATTAAGTGAATCATCAAAACTGGATGTAAGTGGAGCTTTGTCTGAAACGACACCCTTTCTTGCATGTTGAGGCAGTGATTCACTCAAGGGTTTTCTGGAATTTGAGCTGGGAGTATAGAGAGTTTTAGTATCACAGAAAGAATCAAGAAGCATATCCAATTCAGCCTCTACAGCTTCCGCTTCGAACGTTGGCACTTTTTTGTTGGATACAGATGTAGGATTAAGGCTTTCGGGAGCTCTACTCTCACTGAATTCACCACTTTGACCGGAAATAGAATCACCTTGACCTTCAGGCATCAAACCAAACCCTCTGTTAGACAATATTGTGTCTATGGGCTGGCTTCCAGGCCCAAACGACATATCCTCAACAATTTTAGCAGCTAAGTTGACCTTCTCAGGTAAATCATTCAGAATTATTTCTTCAGTTATCTTTGCTGCCCCTTTTCGATCAGATGCCACTTGCATTTGCTGAGATTCCTTATCACTGTTTACCTTTGAACTCTCAGAACACTGGAAAACAAACCAGATAATGTGTCATTAGGTAGTCAAGTGTAAATTGTAAACATGAAGGTCAAATTAATAAAAGAAAAGACAAAGAACCGGAATTTTGATTCAACTAAAAAACTACGAAAAAAGTAAAACGAAATGGCAAGATTTTTGGGAAACCTTTATCTCCCATTTATAACCAATGACCTCCAATCCTATTCATATCTTAAGGCTTATAAATAATGATTTCTATAGTTATTAGTAAAAGACTCGAACACCATGTTTTTACTTTTAGAGTCCAGAATTGCAGCTCCCTCACCTTTGAGGAATTAAAGTATGGATATGAATCAACAGTAACTTGAATATCAATAAAGGAGAATTGTACGTACCAGATTTGGTGGTAATAGATCTGCTTCAATGAAAAGCCTCTCGGATAAATCTACTTTTTCAAGTTGTTCAGCAAGAGCATGCAAATTAAGGGAGAAAAACAAGGCCTACGCGAGAAAACAATGGGAAAAAGGGTGAAAAGATAAATAAAAGCTAAGGCAATTGATGCAAGGCCAATGGCTGGCAGTAAAAGGTCTTTAAAAAGAAAATGGAAACAGACAACTAAGCACCAGTTTTACACTCCTATAGTTGTATTATTGAAGTGTATTTCAATTTTCGTTAAGACTTTTGACGTTATAAAATTCGATGAAACTTTCCTATAGCCTATTTAAAAAATAGCTTTAAACCAGTCCTAAATTTTTGACATGGATACTAATTACTGAAATACATTCTATGTGGAGTTAACAATTAGCAAAGGGTACATGTTTATAAATTCCTAATTAAGATGACAAATCTTTCACTAGTATCAAATATACACACCAATCGAACCTGTTTTCCTTAAACTTTTAGTGCCAATGAGCTGTAGTGAACCTGGAATTTAGTCAAGTAGGTTTATATAGTCATGTTTAATAGGTCAAGAGTTCAAGTCTAACACTGAAAAAAAAATACAGTCAGTAGTGACGATACACATGAAGGATCATGATTAAGATAGCCATAAATACTTTGCAAATAAATTCCAATTCCAAACACAAAATCTTACAATGAAAACAACGAAGAAAATAAGAAACTACCTCAGGATTTGCAGTTGTAGTGTCATCCACAACAAAGTTATCATTACCAGTCCATGACAAAAGACCCTCTCCCCTGACTGCAAGCATAGAACCTACAAATTGATTGAAATCTCCTGAAAAATGCATACAAGACATTAAACATTACAATGGGAAATGTTTAAAACTACCTAATTATTAAAAAAAACCGCCATAAAATAGAAAATTGATCGAACAAATCTAATATAAGTACCGAGAAAATTTTCATCTAAAGAAGACAGGGTATCCGAATGAGGATTTGAGTGGGATTGAGATTGAGCCTCAACAATTAGGTGACGGAAGTCCGCTCCTTTACTCTTGGGCACAATAGTATCGGGATCTTGACTTAGATCTTCAGAACCTGAATCAAATTCTTCCTCATAACGATTCCGATTCGATGGTAATGCAGATATACGCTGCGCCTGCTGAGTTTTCTCTCTGATTTGTTTGAATGACTGCTTTTTCGAATTTGCAGGTTCGTTAGCACCGGTTGATGATGAAGGGTTTGATTTTTTAATCGAATGAGGTTTTTTACTATGGTGTTGAGAATGAGCCCTCTTTGATTTCGCCAATGATTTGGTGTCCATCATAACTGCAAATACTTCTGGAAGAGATCTTATTAAAGAAAACCGTAAACCTATAATTCTCGGTGCAGATTTGATGCAGAGAGTGGCTTCGATGCGATTAAAGAGACCACCGGCGTAAACGGAAACTGTCAACGTCGTTATCGTGAACGGAATAGAACAGGGAAACACCCGACCGATCTCCCAGGGCTTGAGGCCGAACTTCCAAAGAGAGTAGGAAACTAAAAAAAAAACCTAACGAAAAACATAGCAATCTGATACATCAATTAATGGGTTAATTCAAAGATAAGCCCCTATTTATGCGTTAAAGTTGGTAGAAAATATAAGATAGTTCGATTAATGACCTATCTTATCTACTTATAAGAGAGGAATAGAAATATAGAATTAACTAATAGTTTTAATTTAATAATAATATAGAACTAATCAAGTGATTTCAGTAGATAAAGAGGGTGTTTTTCTCTTTAGAGACTCTAAATTTAATTAATTGTATTTATAGGGTATGTACATTAGCCAATAAATATTTTGAATAAATTGTAACACCCTAGTTTTTATTTATTTTAGCTTTGATTTAAATTATTAATTAATTGGATTTTGAAGACCTTTTTGCAAGATCCTAAAAATATTAGGTTAATTTCTTAAATTCCTGAAAGTTTAGAGACTTAACTTGGAATTTTCCATCCCTTGTCGGCCTTTGAAAAAAAATGAAGAAAAAGGATAACTTGAGATTATGGCGGTATGAACCCGCGTCTCAAGGAATGATACCCAATGCCCTTTACATCTAGGCTAAGGCACTATCTGGATCAGACCAAACAAATGAACTCTCCATTTTCGAGCAGTTGGAACCTGAAAATACCCAAATAATACCAAGCCTTCCCCTTCGTCATCCACCCCTGAATCACCATCGTCTGGCCAATTGTGATCGAAACCATTGCCATCAGAGGGTCTGTCATCGTATACCATTCAAAACTCTGTTGTGCTCCGCCCGTCGTTGTTGGATAAGATTCAACCAATTTAAAACACACCCTCCGTTGTTCTTCGTCGCGAAATGACACAAGAATGAGACTTATCAGGTCATGATCAACGATTCTAGAAAGTTCTTCAACATTTTAACGTCGATCGTCACCACACTCGCCCCATGTGTCGCTCCTTGCGCGTGGGAGTTGTTTTCGTCTAGGAGCTTCTAGAACAGTCTGGACTAATCTAGACCGCCCAAATAGATTTGCGCCAAGCCATTTGAGCGGTCGAGCTGAGCCGTTCGAGCTACCGAGCCGAGCCACTATTTGAGCCAAGCCTAAAACCAAGCCGAGCCGATCGTCTGAGCCAAACCGTGAACTCAACCGAGCCGAACCACCATTGACCAACGATAGGTTCTTTATTTAGTTATTATTTTGCCTTTAAATTGTTCCTTAATTGTTAGTTTTTGTGGCTGATTTGTTTTACTGTGCATGACACTAGATTCTAGAAATTGCATTAAAACGACAGAATTATGCATTTTTTTATTTTCGAAATCAAGGTTTGATTAGTAGGCATGACTCTGGGCATGACTCACCTGACGAGGCGATGAGTCATCACCTTCCAAAAGGTCCAAGAAACGCTTCTAGAAGGATGAATGAGTCTTCTGCGTTTTTGAAATTCGAATTCAAGTTAAACTCATATTTTTAGAATTTTAGTTTAAATATTTTAAGAATTATCTTTAGAAATTATCTCTTATTTTTAGGAATTATATTTTCCTTGTTTTTAGGATTTTTAAAGGCTATAAATACCCTATCAGGGTAAGCCTAAAAACACATTCATAATTCATTTTCTTCTTTCCTCTGGTTTTATAAAAGTTTTCTTTCCCAAAGTTTTTCTTTGTTTTAATTTTAATTTTTTTTAAATACTAAGTATGATTGTCATACTTAGCTAATTTCTTCATAGCCAAGGACATAAGCGATGACTCAATCCCTATTGTGAGGATTGAAAATAACTAAAATAACTTCAAGTTATTTTCTCAAATTTGTGGAGGAAAAAGATTGGTAATTGACCTATCTTTTTAAAATCAAAACGCTTTTTAATCAAAAAGTCGACGTTGGTTTAGAAGTTGTTCTGATTTATAGTTGGGAGGAAGAATCGGTTGATAGCAAGTTTGACTTCACAATCTTGTGAACACACTTAGCGGCGGTATGCTAGGGAATTTTTGGGACCTCCCAGAGACCCTATAACCCAGACTATCAATCAAGGCCACCTCTACCACCTCATGAACCGTCAAAGTCCTTTTTGGAATCTATCGTTGAGAGGTTGGCTATTTGTCAAGAAAAATTCTAGAATCATACTGAGTCTTATTTACAAGAAATAGATAAGCAAATTAGTGATCGCTTGTAAATGTATATGCTAAGGCAAGCAATTCTGTGCAAGTATACATAATCGAATCAAGTAATATAGGGTAAGTGAGTTATCGTCTCCTCAGGGATTGGTCGATTTTTTTTAAGTTTCACCACAACCAGAACTAGATGTCACAAACTAATTCCTGAAATCTTGTCAAACTAGAAAAATATTAGTAATAAAGCGAAACAAGAAAATATTGTAAAGTACGATTGTAAAAAAGTTTGGTCGAAACAAAATAAATATACAAAACTATCGAATTAAAATAAAGCAAAGGCAAAAGTTGATTCAAATATATTCAAAACAACCTCACATATTCAGGCTTATCACAGAATACTCATGATAATCTTTTGTATTGACAAGCAATTATTCTAAGTCTAGAATGATTTGATATGACATGCTTAAGCTGCACGATAGGATTACTAGTATTCTTAGAAGTTTGTTATGGCAATACTAATCAGCGTTAACTACAACCCTTGGTTTGTCAGACTGTTGTTGTATTAATACCTCTTAGCATGAACTATAATCGTTGTCTATGATACTCTAGCGTCTATCCCTTTTAGTCGATTAAAACCCTCTCCTTATCTCTAAGGTAGACAAGTTAGAACATCACCATCCCAGATCTATTCCATTGTTCACGTGGACCTATCTTAATTCTCTCGAATCTAAGAGTCAATATCTAGACAACCGGTAATCTCTCGACGCTCTTACATTGTCAAGACGTGTTTCACCAAGACCCCAGGCAATCTCTCTAAGCTCTTACAGTGTCAAGGAAAAATGTTTAAACAATGAACAAAACAGTCATGAGCAAAATCATAATTCATCATTCATAAAGCAGAAAATAATTGCTTAGGCAAAACAAAGATTAACACCAAGTAAGACAGTTCATGATGTTATCAAAAAGTCAACCAAAGTATCATCGTTTTAATACAGCCCCAAACAACGTAAGGAAATTAAGAACAAAGGAAGAACAACTCCCAAAACTGGGGGCTATGTCGTGATAATTCTGATCAACACTGCTCCTGTCCTGGCAGCCAGTCTCTCTCGAGGCCTGACTGCCGCTTTGCTACAGTATGGCTATGGAGGACACCAAGGACGGTCGATCAGGAAACAGTGGGGAACAACTGTAGTTGCTCACTCACACTCCAGTTAAAACTCTTCTAGATTCATTGTCCATTCTCTTTGGCGACTGTGGCTGGGTATTTATAAAGGAAAATCTCCTAGGGTTTCGCGTAAGTGAAGATTCCCTAAATGCCCGTTACTATCTTGTCCAGGCTAAAAAAGGAAAGGCGACTGGTTGTTGTCAGAATCTTGAGGGCTTTCATGCACATGAGAGTAGTCATACAACTGGCATATGACATAGGCAATTTCGTCATATCCGCTTCAGACTCGCAAGATAAATCTTGCCTTGGAGAGATAAATATTCTCCTCACTGTCTTTATCTTCTTTATTCCACTAGCCCTTGTGAAATACTTTATCGCGACTGAAATGTTCTTCATTAGGAAATTTCCTGCACATACACAATCCACACAAGCCCTTTCTCCTCGGCAGCATCAGTCAAACCAAATAAAAGTTGCCGAAAAAACACTTATCCACCACAAGCAAATATAACCTAAATGCAACTAGATGCAATTAATATGTTGTGCATACTTTGTTTAGACGAGCAATAACTTAAGTAAAAAGACTAGAAATAGAGTACTTTTATTGAGTTTTCAATTAGTCAACTAGCTCAGGCCGTGGGATGCTTGGAATCACAAGGTAAGCTTACACCATAAACCGAGGTGAACCCATGGGAAAATGTTAGCGTCATCACCCTTCGAAGCGGTGTAATTATCGAACAACCAGTCCCAGAGGATGTTGGCAAACCTACAAAGTAATGAAGAAAATCTGAAATCCCAAATAGAAGAAGGAGCAGTTGGCGCAAGCCCCCTGAGGAAAAGAGGATTGACGCAAATCCCAGAGAAAAAAGAAATAAGTTTCAAAGCCTGATCCGACACCATCTCCCTATGAAACTCTGCCACCTTTTCCATACAGGTTAGTAAAAAGAGACAAACAAGCTGAAGAGAATGAAATCTTGAAAGTATTCTAAAAGGTTGAAATTAACATACCACTCATTGACGTAATCCGAAAAATACCAAGGTATGCTAGATTTCTCAAAGACCTCTGTACCACATAACAAATACTTACGGAATAGAAAAAGTGAATTTGGGAGGGCATGTTTCAGCTGTTTTCCAACAAAAGCTTCCACCAAAGTTAAAAGATCAAGGTATGTTTACTATACCTTGCAAAATTGGTAAAGTTGGAATTAAATGTGCAATGTGCAATTAGAAGCTTCTATTAATATTATGCCTTTATCTATGTACAACTTACTTTCTAATGAGCCTATGGAGGATACAAGAGTAACAATACAGTTGGTGGATCGATCGATAATATATCCCGAAGGACTCTTGGAAGATGTCTTGGTTAAGGTGAATGAGCTTATATTTCTAGCAGATTTCTATGTCATTGACATGGAAAATGATCAAACAAATACTTGTTCTGAGATACTTTTGGATCATCCTTTCCTTAGCACAACAAATACTAAAATCAATGTAAGAAGTGGAATTCTTACAATGAAGTTTGACGGTGAGATCGTAAAATTTATATAAATAAAGCAATGCGACATCAAGATAAAGTTGCTAGTATTAATTTTGTTGATATTATTGAGCCTCCCATTGATGATTATATGGAATCTAAATTTATTGATAGGAATTGGAAGAATTTGAAAATGAAATCAGGGAGTTCGAGAAAATATTTTCGGTTAATTCTGATTCATGCTTTACTCCCTCAAATCCTAAAATGTTACATTCTGCAAATCGATTTGAAGAAGTTGTCAGAC